CAGAAAATAACTCATGAGTTTTTTAACCTCCATCCCTCAATTTTAGAGGAAATTGATATTACTTTCACTACTTTTTCTTAGAGAGGGAGGAAGAGAGAGCAAAACATTAATGTGAGTGAGACACATGGCTTGGTTGCCTCCTGTACCCACTCCGGAGGTTGAACCGAAATCCCAGGTATGTGCCCTAACTAGAATTGAACCTGTGACCTTCCAGTACACGGGATGACGCTCCAACCAACTGAGCCTCACAGGCCAGGACTCTACTTTTTTCTGTTAAGTGATACTTTTAAATGTAGATTCAGAATGACACATAACTCCTTAATGACACATAACATCTTTGCTTTAACATTAATGTGGTGTGAGTAACGTTGCCTGCGTCTGCATTGTATTGCATGAGTAAGCTCACTAGACACAGAACTGCAAATACACTATCATAGCTTTGCTACCTGATTTGGAAAGATTAAAAATATTTTTCTTTCTGCAGGGGGTGATACTTTGCTGTGTGGTTGGCAGCTATGGGAGATAGCGCATGTCCCTTTTTGCAGTTTGTGTCCATCCATGTATTCTGTCCTGAGAGTGAGACCATGTCCCAGAATCTGTCCTTTTACCACATGCAGGGACCTGCTTCATCTCTGCTTGCACATCTCCCCTCCAGGCCTTTGAAAGGAGCTTTTGTCTGCTTCCTCAGCAGGACCAGGGCCTGCTCCACTGCAGTCAGCGCTTCCTCCCCAGAATGCGATCAGAGCAGCTGCCTGGCCAAACAGCACCAGGGCTCTCTCCGCACCCCTCTTCCCTTCCCCTCCCCTCCTCCCTCTTCCCAGGGACTCATAATATAATGGCCACTGGGGAGTATCCTTTCCAGACCTACAGTCTAATTTTAGTTTTCTTTCTTGGCCCCTAAAGGAAACGGAAAGCCAGCACACAATGCCACAGTGATATCAAACAGCTAAATAGATGGCCCTGAAAAACGAATCAGACATTTGCTTCCTTCATAGAAGTCACATTAGTCATCACTGGTGCTCTGCAACAATCTTATCTATCAACAATCGAATCTAAAAAACAAAGTAAACGAACAAGCAGAACAGACACGGACTCATAGACACAGAGGACATTTTCAGGGTTGCCAGATGGGATGGGGTTTGGGGGCGCTGGGCGAAAAAGGTGAAGGGATTAAGAAGTGCAAATTGGTTGCTACAGAATAGTCAAGGGGATGTAAAGTGCAGCGTGAGGAATACGGCCCGTAATATTCTAATAACTACGTGTGGTGTCAGATGGGGATGAGATTTACCCGGATGATCACTTAGCAAGTTATAGAATGCGTCATCTCTGGCGGGTACACCTGATATTGTATGCCAACTATAATTGAAAAACAAAAAAATGATTTAAAAAAGAACTAACAAGAAAAGGAACACGCCAAGACTGCTATTCTAATGGGTAGTTTCTCTCCTTTCAAAGTTTAAGTATTTCTCCTTCAACGAATTCACTCTCAGAAGTTTTCTCCAGTCTTAGTAAGACTAATGATTTGTGCTTTTAAGTAGGAATGTTCATATTTCATGGGCCTTTCTGCATAAGTGTTTTCCAGTTGTCTTTTATATAGTTGTTGTGACTCATGTATATCTGTGTTGGAGAATAAAGTTCAAACTCATCTTCAGTTTGGAAACAGTGACAATACATATTTTCCCCTCAACTAAAAAATGGGCGCTTCAACAGACTCTTCTTCAGCGCCCATGGAACTGTTGTGTTTATTTTAAATATACAGGGTCACTTGAGCTTTCATAAGTGTCCCTTTTGTGTTCTATGAATGCTTTTGAATGAAAAAGAATAGCTATAATTTTCCTGTCCTGATATACTTCTTTTCTCATTCAGGAATTTTCATCTAAATGTAAAAGAATGGGACCTAATGCTAATAAGTCATTGAATAAAGCTTGCAGTTAATTACTAGAAAACAAAGCAGCTTGCAATGTTTTCACCTCCAAGTCAATATAGCCTGGTGCATATTTTAAATATGATTTATTTTCAACCTCCTGTCAACCTTGTTTAATCTTCCTGTAGCTCTGCTTTCAGTCTCCAGAGACTGGAAATCTTTTTAAAGAGATTTATTAACTGGTCCCTTTAGTTCCTCTTATGTCCGCTTGTCTAGTGCTGCCCTCTGCTGACTATTTCTTGAATTACATCCCATAGATGTTTACAGTTTTGCCTGAGCGGGAAGGAAAATAAAAGAACAATTTTTAAAGTGTATACCTTAGAGTTGGTTTTATCTATATCTTTATTTTCAGCGGGAAAATAAAATCTGAAGTCCAGAAAAATATTTCATTCTAGAACACTCCAGGGGATAGAAATATTGCTCCTGATTCAGGCATTCAGGTATGCGTACCTCATATCAACCAGCTGCCTAGGTCTGGTTCCTGGTTGGGCTGAATGGAGGTGGCAGAGAGGAATTTGACCCTTCAGACAAAGATTTTCCTTATGGCATGCTCCCTTTTCTTTTTCCTTTTAGAAAATAACCTTTCATCTCTAGGTACCAGTCTTACTGGGAGGCCTCTGAACTCTTCTCTCTGGCTCCCAGGCTGAAGTCAGAATTGCTTCTTGGAGGTAACAGGCCAATGCTATCTCACACCCCTGGTAGCTTCCCTGTGGTGCTTACAGAGAGACAGCGATGAGAGAGAGAGAGAGAGAGAGAGAGAGAGAGAGAGAGAGAGAGAGAGAGGAAAAGGGGCAGGTGAGTCAGCTTTTACTGACACTTCATTCCCATCAGTGAGTCCTGGGGCTACAGGCTTCCTCATAGCCCATCTGATCAGCGTGGCACGCTGCGAGATAGAGATTTGAGTGAACGACAAAGAGTATTTGGTGTGTGGCGGCTGCCTGGGACCTGAGAGAGCTCTAATTTGGTGTCAGCATGAAGCGCTCTGGGGGGAGGACTGGGAGAAGGCAGAAAAGTATATTGACTCTGCACCGATGTGCAAGATGCTGTTATATAACAGACATGACTTATTCTCATAATAACCCTGTTGGGAGCTGAATTGTGGTCCCTACTTAAAGAGGGAGGAACTATGGCCTAGAAAGGTTTAATAACTTCACAAGGACACACAGGGTAAACGGGCTGAAATCTAGGTGGGCCTGACTGCATGGCCCAGGATCCTGCTAGAACATCGTGAGCTTGTGGGATAAGAGTACAAGGACCTCCCCCTGCCGGCATGGCTCGGTGGTTGAAGGTCGACCTATGAACCGAGAGGTCCTGGTTTGATTCCTGGTCAGGGCACATGCAGGGGATGGGAGTGGTGTGTGTGTGTGTGTGTGTGTGTGTGTGTGTGTGTGTGTGTGTGTGTAGGCTTGCTCCCCAGTGTGGGGTGTACAGGAGGCAGCCAATCAATGATTCTCTCTCATCACTGCTGTTTCTATCTCTCTCTCCCTCTTCCTTCCTCTCTGAAATCAATATATATATATTATAATTTTTAAAAAAGAGTGCAAGGACCAGATTACAGGCTTGGGGTGGAAGGGGCATTGTTGGTTCAGTGATTGACTGAATTAATTCTGGATGGTGCTATGGACTCAGTGCATGGGTGCTTTCCTGAATGATGCTGCTCTGCCCGAGAATTCAGGCTAGAGGTGGGGCAGGAAGGGGCAGTGGGGGGCGGCGCCACCGTGCTGGGTCTCAGCACACCTGAGGACTCTGGGAGACCCTAGGCTGGCACGGCAGGTTTTTACCCATAATAGAAAAGATAGACACGTAAGGAATATCTCAAGCAGAACAGAACAGCACAGAACAGAGCAGAACGGAGCAGAGTAGAACATCACTAATACTTTACTGGAAATTGCTTGTCTCCTTTTTGGTTTGCCTAAGAGAGGCATTATAGACAATTCTGGGAAGCAGAAAGCACAGGGAGGACATACTATCCTGATCGTGGAATATATCCTTTGCAGAGGGAGAGAAGGGAGTAGCAAGGCGGGGCAGGGGCTTTAACTGTATTTGTAAATTTCATTCTTTTTTAAAAATATATATTTTTATTGATTTCAGTGAGGAAGGGAGAGGGCGAGAGAGATAGAAACATCAATGATGAGAGATAATCATTGATTGGCTGCCTCCCCCCTCCCCCCCAGCCCCCACTGGGAATCAAGCCTGCAACCTGGACATGTGTCCCTGACTAGAATCAAACCCGGGACCCTTTAGTCCACAGGCTAACGCTCTATCCACTGAGCTAAACCGGCTAGGGTGTAAATTTTATTCTTTAAAAAATATAGAAGTAGCTGAAGATACTTGTTAAATCTGCATGATGAGTCTATAAATGCCGGGTATAATGTTTTTTATAGTTTCCTATTTGAAATAGTTCATAGTTAAACATGAAAACGGTACAACAGGGACACAGTGTGAGGAAAGCCCCTCACGAGGGCTGTCAAGCTTCAAAGCGGGTCAGGGGTCACACCTCACTTCACAAACTGGGCAGCACTGAAAGGTTTTCTCAATCAGAAGCAACACACAGCCTGTACGTAGCCCATGAAGCTCATCCTTCATGGGGTGTTATTGCCTCCAAGGTATCTTTCATGTGTGAGATTACAAACTCCTACAGCAACCAGAGGTGTATGTAAAATATTCTTTTCCATAAACAGCCAGAGGGCGGAAGTAAGATTAAAGTCATACAAACTTATGGAGTAACAAAAAGTCTTTCACGAAAGCCATGAAATTTAGTTGGAAGAGTTCCACAGCCTCGGACAGGCCTTTCATGGTTTGAAAACGATATATTCTGGGAAAGGAAATATAACAGGGCCACAGTCAACATTTCTTCCATCCTTCCTATGACTTAAAGCACATTTTTATACATGATCTCCATTGAGGATCACAACTGCTCTGAGGAGGAGCAGAAACAAAGAAGGGAAACGATTCACTCACCTACAGAACCACGGCCTCCCCCAGGCCCCACACAGCCTTTCCGGAGATTCCTTCCCACTGTGTCCCCCCGTGCCTGCCTCGGCCCCTAGCCCACGGCTTCTGGGAGCCGGCATACCTGCTCATGAGACCATGTCCTTTCAGAGCCATCCTTGACACAGATGTCCAGCCTGAGCTCGGTTCCCGTGGCTCCATGCTTGCTGTCCACACAGAGATTGGCTGCCACGTTTCGAATCTGTGGAAGGAAGGAGGAGTGAGCATGAGGCCCTTTTTCATTTTACCTCTAGCTCTATGTTATCTATGACAATTCTGGCACAGACTCAGCAGCTGGTGTGTGTGTGTGTGTGTGTGTGTGTGTGTGTGTGTGTGTGTGAGAGAGAGAGAGAGAGAGAGAGAGAGAGAGAGAGAGAGAGAGGTTTCATGATTATTGAATGATGCTTTAAATTTATGTGCAATTTATGGAGAAAACAGGGAAGTAAAAATAACATGGTCCAGTCTACATGTAAAATGACATGAGAAGGTTGAAGAGCAAGCTGTGGCTGACTCCAGCAAAAGAATGTGTGACAGGCAACACAGGGAGCACTGTAGAGTTCATGACTTTTCTAAAATGGGAGATATGTCTTCTTCAGGAGGTTAGGAATTCAGTTAGGAATCTGTTATCTTCTTGCTCAAAAGCATCTTCTACCATTTGCACCCTAGCTGGGGGTGAGATCCCCAATGAGCCAGGTGATGCAGGTAAAGTGTGAGGTGAAAGAGAGTGAATCGCTGAGCACTGTATGGTTCTGGGCAGGACAAGATGACCTTGACATTGTAGTTTGCCTGGGGTGGTCTTGGTCTATACCTATACCTGGCTGACAAATGTAACCTGTCACCCAACAGCATTAGCAAAGTAGCAAAGGGCATTATTGGTGCAATACTATACCGGACAAAGATTCTCTACGTAAAGTCTGACCTGTGACAAGTTGCAGAATAATAAAAAAAGACCTTTTTTTGAAGATAGTTCTTTACAATTATTATATTGACACGGATAGAAGGAACTGAATTGTTAGTGGGGGGGAAAGGGCAGACTATGAAAAGAATCAAAAGCAGAAACAGGATCAGAGCGTTTGGACATAGACACATCCCTTTGTCCAGTCTTCCTGCCTGAAGATCTCACCAGCTCTGTTCCCAGCAGAGCCACATCCGGGAGTCACAGAGTTGGATATTGTTTATAGTTGTTGTTTAGGTATGCAGGCGTGGATAAGCTCAAATAGCTGAATCCTTTTCATGCCTTTGTATAGTCCTGGATTAAAATAATCCCTTTAGATGCTGTGAAGAATGGGAACAGGAACAGGATGTGCTCCGCTGATCAGCTTAGTCAAGGTTCTTTTGCCCAGAACGAGTAGAGAAGGTAAGGACTGTGCCCACGACCGAAGGTGCCTGCCCTGGGCCTATTCTACTTGGGTGGGGCATTGAGGCAGAGAAAAGATTATAAGGAAATATACTGGGTGACATGAGAGGAATAAAGGATGCTGGGATGAGGTGGTGGTGGAGAGGGCTATTTCACATCTCACTTGCTTTAGGAGTGGGGGTTGGTGTGATGTCATTCAGGAGGGAGTCAGTGTGGTGGGTACCAGTTTCCTTATTCAGGGAATTTGGCCACAGCTTGGGTTCATCATGTACTAGTGGAGCTCTACTTTCTGGGTCTCTGTCCCTGATCAAAGGGAATCTGAAATAATGTAGGGGCAACGGTTCTTTTTTTAAAATATATTTTTATTGATTTCAGAGAGGAAGGGAGAGGGAGAAAGAGAAACATCAGTGATGAGAGAGAATCATTGACCGGCTGCCTCCTGCACGCCCCCTCCTGGGGATCAAGCCCGCAACCTGAGCATGTGCCCTGGACCCGAATCAAACCGGGGACCTTTCAGTCCGCAGGCTGACGCTCTATCCACTGAGTCAAACAGGCTATGACAGGGGCAACGGTTCTTAACCTAGTTTGGCCTACAGACCTCTCTGAGAATCCAAGGAAGGCTACGGACTCTTTCCCCGAAAACAAATGAACTGTGAGTAAATACATACAAGTACCTTTGCACTCATTTTCCTGGAATGCAGAGACTCCAAATTTGAACCCTGAATGAGGGAAAATGCTTGCCTCCCAACCCTTGCAAACTAATCGCATCCCTCCACTTAGCATGGAAAATCCTGGGAGACAGGGAACAGACTTGGCTGGTGTCCAAGTGCCTGTGACTCACTCTCCCCCCTTTTACTTTTCTCCACCTTCTCCCAACAAGTACCAGGGAGGAGCTTTACCATGGGATTTGGGGAGCCAACCTTAAAATGTGCTTTTTGTCAAAGCAATGCCTTGGTGAGCAAGAGTTTCGTTGGCGAAATAGAAACACCCAGAAGGTCAACAGTTCGCTGCTGCTCTCTCTGTCTGGAGCCCGGCCCGCTCTGTGAAGCTGCTGTTTGATCTCCTTATCTGCGTGCAGGTGTCAGTTTCTCCAGCCGCCTAACCTGGCAGCCGCCTGACAGGAGCCCTGGCAGGCCGTCTTTTCATTCTTGGGCCATTTAACTCACAGACACTCTTCTTAGAGAACCTGCATTCATTGCTGCCAAAGACATCTTCAGGGCACGATTGTGTCCTCCGCTCGCGCCCAGGAGCTCTGAATGGCATTTTGGGAAAAAGCAGCTATTGACAGGCTACGGCGGCTTGGCCAGAGGGGAGGAAGTCTGCTCCCCTCTGTGGGCTGGCCTGGTGCTCACTCACGGGAGGGGCTCTGCTCTTGGAGAAGGGATGTGGGGGGAAAAGGAGACACATGAGCCAGCGACACCGACTAGCAGCTCGGCCAAATCTGCCCCTGGATTCACGCCGACGCCTCCCAGGGAGCCCTGTTCTGTTTCTAAATCTAAATGCTGTGACTCGGAAGGGCTTGGCAGGAATGGAGGAGGCCCATTTTCTAAATTCTCACTCGATTGGCACCTGTGTAGACAACGGGATAAACCTCTCTGGAAGCCAAGTTTCAAAGGCGTCATTGTCTACATGTGTGTGAATTCCAGAACCCAGCGGTGCCAGAGGGGAAATGCTGAGCGTTCAACACCGGCTCCAGCCTTGGCCACCAGATGAATGAACATCAGGCACGCCTCGTCTGCTTCTCTCCCTTTTCTTTTTCTTTCCAACTCTTCAGCACACGTTGACATCCTCTCCTCTTGCTCACAAATTCAACGCCACCATAATAAGCAGGTGGAAAAAATCCCAATAGAACTGATTCTAATACATGTTTACTCACTTGAATAAAGTGTTAAGATGAAGACCAGAACATTTAGAAACGATGTGTACTTTTTCAATGCAGGTTTGGTATCTGTGGCTGAAGGGAGAACAGTTCACACACACACACACACACACACACACACACACACACACACACGTCCAGGACACAGAGCTGACTGGACCTGTGACAGGATAGATCCTTTTCAGCCTTTATTTCTTTGATCAGGACTTGGCATCATTAAAACTGTGTCTCTCTTGAGAGAGACTGAACATGATTGGGAAGTAAGGTAGTGCTTCACTAGGAATGGGAGGGAAGAGGGAGACAAATGGGGGGAAAGGAATCAGGATGTGTGGCAGGATTACAGAGATAATCTCCTTTGGTGAGGATTAGGAGAAGGCCTGGCAGAGGGCAAAGGATTTCTTAGGTATGCAAGAGAAGTCAGGCTCAGCTTGAACACTGTGGTTGATTTTTTTTTCTTCCCAACACAGGAGGTTTTCTGAAAGAGGTATAAGAGAAGGGCTATCTATAATAATAAAATCATAATATGCTAATTAGACCGGATGTGATTCTGGACATGATTCTGGATGTCCTTCTGGATGAAGCTGGGGCCGGAGGGAAGCCTGGGTCCCAGGTGCCAGAGGGAAGCCGGTGCCAGCAGCCAGGGGAAGGAAGGGCTACCCTTGCATGAATTTTGTGCATTGGGTCTTTAGTGTGATATAAATGTCAAGGTAGCTAGTAGGTGATAAGTAATTCAATTGGTTGTTAGAAAGACAAGCCTCCGTTTAACAAATGAGAGAGCATTGTTTGCTAATTTCCTGATAGCCGTGGGGTCTTTTTTAAAAAAGTCTTTGATTTCGGAGAGAGGAAGAGAGAGGGAGAGAATTAGAAGCATCAATGATGAGAGAGAATCATCGAGGGGCTGCCTCCTGCAAGCTCCCTACTGAGAATCGAACCTAGACCTCCTTGCTCATTGGGTTGCTGCTCAACCACTGAACCACACCGGTGAACCCTTGGGGTCTTTTAACTCAGAAGTAGTGGGTTCATGATACATTCAACAAATGTTTACTATGTATTTGCTTTGTCCTAGGCACTATGCTAGGTACTGGGTAGACAGTGAAAAAGAAAGAATTGGTCTCCTTTGTGTAAGCTTTGGTTCAGAGAGGATATTCCAGAGGGGAAGGAAGGTTTGAGGCTCCTAATATTTCTGGCCATGAATTTTGAATGCTGCAAAAGGAACCAAGATGCTTCCCTTCTATGGACTGAAGTTGATTTCCGAATGCGCATCGATGTGCAGAGCTAGACAGAAAGAAGATGTGAGTGTAGCAGGGAGAGAGAACAGAATGGGGACCAGGCACCAGAGGGTTTCCCTATAATCTGAGCCATGCACTCCCTTTCAAAACTCAGTTTGTCCATTGATAAGAAGTCTACACTTAAGGAGTGCTCCTGAACAAAAGGCACTTTGAGATGTACAGATGGAGCTTCAAAGACAAGGAAAAAGCTCTTCAGTTCTTAAGGAGCCCAGAGTCCTAGTGGGAAGACACCACTTGGGAGGCATTTTCTTAGATTACTAAGTGCTAAGTGCTAGGTGAGAACTGAAGATGAAATGATCAGTTCTGATTGAGTCAGCTTGGAACACTGTGTAGAACTGATGACTTTGGAAGGGGCTCTGGAGGACAAGTAGAATTGAGTCTAGAGAGTGAAATGACAGAACAACATGGCAGCATTAGGGGTCCGAAATGTACCTACATATGGAGCCTGGACAGTGCAAGACATTTTTTAGGGAATGGCTCAACTTGGAATGGCCCAGCATAGGGTTTATAAAATGAGGATAATCATGCCTTGGAGGGTGGTTGTGAAGATTAAACTGATGTATACAAAGCGCTTGCACCCTGTCTGGTACACTGTACGTGGTCAGCAAATGTTAGCTACTACTTATTTGTTTGTCTGCTCATTTTTTCAGCTGAAGCAATTATATTGGTGAATGGGG